GTTATCAAGTAAAAATGTTCTTCATTACTGTAGTGTAAAGTGTTATCAAGTATAAGTGTTCTTCATTGTTCTATTGTATTTTATTTCACGGAAAGTAACAAAATTACTATGTTGAACTAATATACTTTAGGAAAAGTAGTAGCATCTACTGATAACTCTTAACATAGCCTTAACATTGTCTTCTCTGTTCGAAAGGTGGGATTTAACAGTCACTCTTTTGATAACTTTTCGTGACTCATGAATCTACGGATTAACAGTTAGGGTAAACTACCCACAAGGCCACACTGTCCAAATTGTCATTCTTAAATGAATTAGGTTTCCCCCATCCGGTGGCTAAGTGGGAAGTCTGAACGCTTGCAACAATAGAAACTGGGTTTCGATACCCGCGGTTAGCAGAAAAGTGCCTATTGTGTAACTTTGTTGCAAAGTGATTGTTTATACAGGAAAATTTGGTTATAACAACTTCTTTTGTATTTAGTATTTATATATAAATAAGGTTGTTGTTGTTTTTGAAGTAAAGCACAAACCTACACAATAGGATATCTGTGCTCTGCCCACCACGGGTATCGAAACCCGGATTCTAGCGTTGTCAGTCCGCAGACATATCGCTGTGCTACTGGGGGGCTATCAAAAAGGAGTAATCAGAATAGTTGAACAGAAGAAGAGAAATTAATTTAAAATAAACGAACCTTGGCATCCAACAGTTTGTCGAATTGTGGAGTTATGTAAAACAGAAGTCCGTCTCCAGCTCCTTCTAACGTCACTCCACGAAAAAACAGAATGATGAGAATGACGTATGGAAAGATTGCTGACACCCAGATGATCTGTAACGAACGTAAATAATTAACTTTAAAGAACTTAAACAAATGCAATAGTTAAACTAAAAATATTAGAAATTATTGAATATAACAAAAGCTATCAGAGATGCTGAAAAAACAAGTATTATGTCACAGTGATTTGTAATGGTGTTTTATGTCACTAGGTGATCTATCCTTATGATTACTGTAATGGTGTTTTTATCCTTATAATTACTGTAATGGTGTTTTATGTCACTAGTTGATCTAACCTTATGATTACTGTAATGGTGTTTTATGTCACTAGGTGATCTATCCTTGTGATTACTGTAATGGTGTTTTATGTCACTAGGTG